GTGTTTGAGGTGAAATCCACCAATGGGGATACTTTCTTGGGCGGTGAAGACTTTGACCAGGCTTTGTTACGTCACATTGTCAAGGAGTTCAAGAGAGAGGTTAGTTACCATTGTGGATTTAATGTGTAGGCTTCTTTGTAGGAGGTTCAGACTTTTTGTTCAAAATGCTCATTTGCTTTCTGAATAATTTTTTTGCACTAAAGTAATTAATTACATTCAGGTTCACGGGTAGACTCAACCATTTTAGTTACATATATATAGCACCTTAGATTGGGAACAAAAGACTTGTCCTCTAGCCCACAAATCCTCACAATTTATATTGCTTTATAAAGGATGACCCTTTCATAAGCAGACAAAATCTACATTGCCACTGCAGTTTCTCTATTGTCTTATGAATCCTATTTTGTAGACAGGGGTTGATTTGACCAAAGACAACATGGCACTTCAGAGGGTTCGGGAAGCTGCTGAGAAGGCTAAGTGTGAACTCTCCTCCTCTGTTCAGGTGAGACATGAAGAAATCCAAGTTCTTTTGGTGGATATTTTCAGCCTAACCTTATTTGAATCATATATTCTAATTTACCTAATGTCAGTGTAGCCTGTTTACAGTTTTCTATTTGGTAAAAACCTTGAGCAAGCTGGGCAGTGCTGGCCACGCCTTTACTCCTAGCTCTCTGGGAGTTCGAGGCCAGCCTGGTCTACAGAGCGAGTTCCAGGACAAGCTCCAAAGCTACTGAGAGAAACCCTGTCTGGCAAAAAGAACAAAAACTTTGAGCTGGGGAGGGGTGGTGCACTCCTACAATAATCCTAGCACTCGGGGAGGCACAGGTAGGCAGATCACTTTGAGTTCAAGGCTACCCTGGGCTACAAGAGCTAGTTAGAGGACAGTTAGGGCTGCAATACAGAGAAACAGTCTCAAAAAAGAAAGAAAAACAATACGACAATGATCACTTTTCTTTTTAATGAATTAGGTAAATCTTTGTGTGGATCTTTTGTTCACATGTATATACCTACTGCGTGTGTGCTTGGTCCCTCAGAGGCCAGAACTCCCATGTTCTCTAGAAGACCTGCCAATGCTCTCAACCACTGAACTATCTTTCCAGCCCTGAGACAGATATTTTTTAAATTATCTATTATATGTGCACTGGTGTTTTTACCTGCATTTTTGTCTCAGGGTGTCAGATCCCCTGGACTAGAGTTACAAAAGCAGTATGGTGAATGATTAACCTTGAAAAAAAATTAATGTCTTCAATGTACTATTTTGTGGATTATATGAATTGCTAGTTTTCTGCCTAATAAATTGGATCAGCATTCTAGAAAGTAAGCTGTGGGAAAAAATCTGCCCTTTAAGCAACAGATTTGCTCCAACTCTCTGTTCTGCACTTGTTTGTTGACCTCAGTTCTGAGAGGTAAAGCTTCCCTGTCTTAAGCAGGTGTAGACTAGTGTAAAATCTAGGTTACAGCCTCACCAGCGTGAAACTAGACCACTCTAAACCTGTGACTGCTTAAGATTCTTACATTCACAGCAACAAGTTATGGTAGCTGTTGGTTAAGTGGTTGTTGCTAAGTTGCTGAAACCTGAATGCTGTATACAATCATTTATTTTTGAGTTCGGCCTTAGTTCCCAAGCCTTCACTATTGTAAGGGGCTGTGAGTAGTTACTATGTTGTCCGTACTATGCTCATGGGTAGTGATGCCATTCTCCCTGCTGAGTGACAGAACTTGTGTGACTTATTCATGTTTAAGGTTGTGGTTTAAGAGTCTGGGTTTGTCAGCAGAAAGAGAAATCTATAAGTCTCAGATTTGATACTGGGAGGGGAAAAGGTTGTTTACGTTTACATGGCTGTGCTTTACTGATGGACAATTTTTTTTTCTAGCCTTTAGCACTTTAGCAAAGTATTTAGCCAAGTCAGTGTATATTTATGATCTTAAATCTGTAAAATAAATCCTTGGGAACATCTCAGAAGACTTAATATAGTGTACTCTGAAAAGATGGATTTTACCTAGAATATTAACTCAGCCCTGTGGTGGTCTCATACCACTCAGACTGGCCTTGAACTCACTATCGCTGAAGACGATTGTGTGTGTTCCTGAGGGCTTGGGCAGTGCCAGCACATCCAGTGTGCATCGCTCCTGCTTTTTTCTAGTAAGAGCAGAGGTAACACTAATTCCTGGAACTTAGTCTGGATATGTTAAGAGGTTGATGGGGAACATATGTTCTTTTTGTTTCTTGTTTGACTTCGTCATTCCTCACCCACCCCCCATACACAACACACCTGTTTCTCTCTATAATAGTCCTGGCTGTCCTAGAACTTGCTTTGTAGACCAGGCTGGACTCAAAACTATCAGATCTGCCTGCCTCTGCCTCCTAAGAGCTGGGATTAAAGGTGTGCACTCCAATGGCCCTTCGTGATTTCTTTCTTTGATTTTCATTTTTATCTATGTGGAGAGTGATGGGAGAAGGTAAATGTGGGTACCAGTGGAAGCTAGAAGAGGAGAGTATCGGGTGCCTCAAAACTGCAGCTATGGGCAGTTGTTAGCTACCCAACATAGGTGCTAGGAATTTAACTCAAGTCCTCTGTCAAAATAGCAAGCACTGTTTAACTATTGAACTCAGACATGAGATATTTTAACTCGATGTGAAAGATAACCATACACACAGTATGTTTCTATGGTACTATTCATCTGTCACAGGATAATTTCTTCAGCTTGTGTGCCCCAGACTTCATTGTTAATATTTATAAACCTTATTAAAAGATTTTAGTGTATTTACACTACATCTTAGGAATTTAGTAAGGCTGATTTTCTTTGCTTCCTAGGTTCTATCCTAGGGTATAGTCTTAACCTTAATTGGAATCATAAAGATTAACTTATAGTGAAATATTTTCTGTGTAGACTGACATCAACTTGCCATATCTTACAATGGATGCTTCTGGACCCAAGCATTTAAATATGAAGGTAACTCGAGCTCAGTTTGAGGGCATCGTTGCAGATCTAGTCAAGAGGACTATTACTCCATGCCAGAAGGCGATGCAAGACGCAGAAGTCAGCAAGAGTGACATAGGAGAAGTGATTCTGGTTGGTGGCATGACGAGGATGCCCAAGGTATGCATATATCTTATGTGGGGGGAAATCAATACATAATGCAATTTCATTAAAAGATGCAAGAAAAAGGGTATCAGGGAGACTATTAAACCCATTCTTATAATGTTGTCAAACCTTGTGGTGGTCATTCCCTAGGAGATGTTTTTTGGGCACTTCTTCCCAGCATAGTGGTTGGGACTACTTGCATTACTTCAACAAAGATTTGTGCAATGATGCATTTTATTAATCAACACATCATTCTGAAAACAGATGTGTAGATAAGTAATAACTGAGCACAGACTGTTGTTGAAGGTGTAGTTGTTCTTGGAGGCTGGATAGAATTATCTTGGGTCCAAGTTAATGGTGGAATTACTGCTTTTGGTGGTGGTTTCTGTTGTTTTTTTGTTTTGTTTTTTAATTTTACTGATTTTTATTGAGCTCTATGTTTTTCTTTCCACTCCCTGCCTCTCCCTACCCCTTTAACTCTCTCCCTGGTCCCCATTCTCCCAACTTATTCAGGAGATCTTGTCTTTTTCTATGTCCCCTGTAGATTAGATCTATGTATGTCTCTCTTAGGGTCCTCATTGTTATTCTAGGTTCTCTGGGATTGTGATTTGTAGGCTGGTTTTCTTTGTTTTATGTTTAAAAACCACTTAAGAGTGAGTACATGTGATAACTGTCTTTCAAAATGATGTTTTCTAGTTCCATCCATTTGCCTGCAAATTTCAAGATGTCGTTATTTTTTTCTTTGTAGTACTCCATTGTGTAAATGTAGGTGGGTTGTGTTTATGGGAGATTTTGTTTCTCTGTTGCAACACTAGGATAGTGGAAAATGAATCTAGAATAAAGTTGGACCCAGAACTCTGGTTAGAGAGGACATGTTGATATTAACAAATTATCCCAAGATGCTATGTACTTTTGTTAGCTCTTAACACACAGGGTCAAAAACAATGCCACAGAATTGGTATTACTGCTTCCTTCAAATTGGCCTCTGATTAATTATGTAGAAGTGTAGGCTGTATTTTATAGTCCCTTGCCTTATGCCTTCTGTTTCCAGTGATGAATGTCATCTGGAAGACAGATAATTGAAGCAAATGCTTCTAAATTAAGTGGACAAAGTGAGTTTTCATGTAAAGAAGAAGTCAGCATTGTTGGAGCTGAGTTCATCTGACTTGCCATCTGGGTGGCACCTTAGTGCTCTGTCTCAGTTCAGCAGTGGCCCTGGGTGTTGGCTAACAGGTTCTTTGTCCTCCATACATAGGTTCAGCAGACTGTACAAGATATTTTTGGCAGAGCCCCAAGTAAAGCTGTGAATCCTGATGAGGCTGTAGCCATCGGAGCTGCCATTCAGGGAGGTGTGCTGGCTGGAGATGTCACAGATGTGCTGCTCCTGGATGTCACTCCCCTCTCTCTGGGTATTGAGACTCTGGGAGGTGTTTTTACTAAACTTATTAATAGGAACA